AGAGGGACGTGAGGGGTAAGCTTTCGTGGCTCCCACGGGACCTTTGAGTAAAGATACAGGTTTGGATTCCATAAAAAGGCACTTGCATTTTAATGATACTTTTGAAGTAGTTATCAGTTTTCCAGTTGAGAGTAAATGTGAAACAACCTGCCAGAATGGAAACAACAGGTTAAAACAGACTGAAGATCCTCAAAGAGGTCTAGACACAGAAAAGGAAAGATAATTTCAGGAAGTATGAGGACATATTTTGTGAGAGTGTGCTGAGCCCATAAAAAAAGGATGTGGAGAGAAGCACATATAATTCAGGATTAGGAACACGTGCGTCAATGTGAGATGAAGACAAAAAAAATTTTAAGTACCAATTGGAAAAGTATTTAAATACATGAGACAGGCATCAATTAAAGGAAGGAGTCATCAGAAAATACAAGTGCTAGACATAATACCCCTGCAAATTTCTAAGTTTTGCTAGAAAATAGGGTTATTTCAGGTGCCATTCTACTAGAGAGAAAGCATTTTAGATTTTGTTCTCACAGGAAATGTGAATCTGAGTGTCATATTATTTTCTCAGTTGAGATTTAAATTCACAGGTGAGAGACTTGGGAAACTGATATGAATGAAACTGAAATCATAAAGCCCATCTAATCCTCTCTTCTATTTCCTGTAGGAAAATAAAAAGTGATGCTCTACAGTGGTCTCTGTCTGGTAAAGATAAAACGGGTTTAAGATTTAAGGATAGCTTTTGGAAAACCACATCGCTCAGAAAATAGAGAGGTATTTCCAAGATTGTAAGCAGTTATGTTTGGCTTTGAAATGTGGTCAGTTTCCATAGTTAGTAACCCTGGGTCCCTATTAACTATTTTTAAATGATCTGCTAATTACTTAAAATGTTAGAAAAATAACACTCGTCAAGGATTTGGCTTCGGGTATTTCATCTTTCGAAGTCTCAGGAAGGAAACGTGCTCTGTGGGAGGATAGTCCAGGCTGTGGAGACCACCTCCAACCAGGCACGGAAGGCAGCCCGTCTCTCTGGGACCGAGCCCAGTGGAAATCCTATAGAGCAAGTGTAGTGCTTTTGAACATATTTTGGAACTTTAATTTTCTGCATTAATCTACATAAGAAATTGATTTCAAAGCAGCACAGGGGAATGCGGCTGCGTTTGATCTTAAAAGGGGCCAAATTGGGGTCTGATTTACACTCCTGGCGATCTCTTGCTTTAAAGAGTTGGCAGTAACTCAAGTCGAGAAATAAAAAGTGGGCCTTGGGGCAAATTTAATTGAAGAAGAGGTCTGATGTATTTCAGAGGATTCTGAAGGCAACATCAAAACAGTATTTTTAAAAGGCGTTAAGAGGTTGAATTGCCCAGATGGACAAATGGGCACAGTGGCAAGCAACCAGTAGATCTCCTGGTGCGAGGGCAGGCGGCTCCCTCCGTCCTCCCGTGGCTCTCAATTTGCCCAGGCTTGTGACAGGTACTCCTTTTGCATTTCTAGCCGTGACACAACATAATACAGTTGGAGCCACTTACGTCTATCTTTGTTTCTTAGGTCCCGTAAGGCACTTGTTTGTTGAGGACCAAGAAATGTTGGCATTTTTCAAACACTTCCAAAGATGAATATTGTTTTCATTAATATCAAATTTATATCCCTATCTATGGCTCAATTCTTTTTTTTTGTATAATAAATAGTTTTAGATGTCAACACTAAATCATAATGCATTCTTTGCAGGCATTTCAGACAGCAACTAAACTCAATACACATATTTCCAACCCTACAAACTACTCAATAGAAGAAATCATGAGCAAGATCACATGGGCAAAGTTTACAGGAAAAAACAATGAGTTATGACCACTGCTTGCCTGATAGAGGCTATAAAATGATTCTGATTATAATATGCATACCAGTTGTAGATGTTAAAATTTGAAAACATAAATGTGTTTTAGACTATGATATATAGCATGCATGGATTTAGGGAGAAAGAGTTAATGTTAGGGATGGTGAGATTTCTGCCTGAATCTCTCCAGGGTCCTCTGTATGAGTCTCTTAGGACTATAGAGGAACATATTGCCACATGTTGTCTCCTTGGAGATCCGACTATCAAGAAATAATTGCTCTGATTCTAAAACATTTGCAAATGCAGACAATACATGTTCAAAGTCTATTTCTGTACTAATCTTGCTATAAACAAAAATATTAAAAACAACTAAGAAAACTGTTTATTAAAATAATTTAATAATATGGCATATTTCCCCCAAATTAAGTGATTAAACATAAAGCACTAGAACTACATAAATCATTCTTCATGTATTTGAACAGCATTCTTACATTTTCTATAATTTAAAATTTTAAACTTCTTTCAATTCCTCGTGTTACTCAATTAAATCAGCAAATTAACTTGAAATTGGAGACTAATTAAAACAAAATCCATCCAAAAAAGGTGATAGAGTAAAGTCAGGATAAGGTCATTTCCTCAAGAATTCCCAGAGTTAGTTATTGCCCTTTGTTGGAGAGAACTGTCATCCCCACGTTAATTACCAGCTCAAACAGACAGCAGGAATCAATGGGAGAGAGGGCTCAGAGAGAAGTTGTGAAAAGCAGGTCCTTCTCCAGTGTTCCCTGAGAAGAATGAATCACTTTTTATTATAAAAGATTAAACTTGAAATCCATAAATAAGGTTGTGCTCTGCTCAACGGTTCACAGTACCACATCACACGACCTACTTGACAGCTCACAACTGCACACCAGACACGGCTCACGTTTAGTGATCACGGTCTTAACCGAACCCCACCAATATTTTTGTGAGAAGCAGGCAATAACCACTCAGCAGAAGAGAATTACCACTTTGGAAATAAAATATGGTTTTCAAAAGGTTGATTTTAATTTTATGGTTATAGCGTAAAAAACAAAAACAAATATAGGTCAGCCTGACAGATGATTCTGTTCTGTTTCTCAGTACGTTTTTTCTGTAAAACGACTCTGAGAGTTCTCTTATGTGTGATAAAGATGTATGAAATGCACATCCCTTGAAAAAATAAATTAAAGCAGTTTGGCATTCTATGTATCAATTAAAAAATGGTAAATTTTCCAAGGTATAAATTATTTCATAATATTCCATAAAACTATTAATCATTAGGAGCTATCATTTTTCACATGATTCCACATTTTACACAGAAAAGGAATACAAATATGTGAGGATTATCACTCAAGTTACAAATGTAATGGCTCACAAAAAAATGAAAACTCTAAAATAACAACAACCTCTCTAAGCACCTCCATCTGTAACAAAGATATGTCTTTGAGCAATTCATAATCTCCCAGTTATCTCATCTGTAAAATAAAAGTTTTATATATTCTGTGATTTCCAAAATTAGTCCTAGCTTAAGCATTCTGTGATTCTAAAAATTCCAAGAGGTACAACAATTTGCTAGTGAGACATGGTTTATTTCAATATGAATAGGCAGTTCTGTTATTTGATCATATTCCTATAAATTATGAAATTAAATCTCATAAAAATTAGACACCATAAAATATTCTTGTTTCAATATTCATCACCACAAATCAAATATAGACTATTGCAATATTCAGCATAAAATCACTCACACTGTCACTTGAAGAGCCATCAGAATCTATATGCCTTCCACACCTTGCCAACCTAATTTGGTCAGACATAGAGCTGCATGTTATTGAGAAGCAGGTATTGAGTCTGTCATTGGCTTTCCCACATCGAGAGAATAGACAGGTGTTACTCCCAGAAATAGCATCAAGTTATATAATATTTAAATATATGGTTTAAAGAAAGAACCTTGTAACCTAGACTATAATACGTTAATTAACAAAGTTCCTGAAAAAAAAGACACATTTTTCTTAATACACCATCACAGTTCTACCACATTTCATTACCATGTAAAAATTGTCATGTACATTTATTTCCATGACTGCCTAATCTAATATTCATAAAAACATGATTGTAAAGTAAATCTAATAAAATTTAATTTAAAAATATAACTATTGAATGCACCTTTCTTGCAACAGAGTAAATCTAGCTCAAAAAAAAAAAAAAAGCACAAAAAGCAAAAGCTTGCATGCCAAAAAACCTCATCTAGAGTTAAATTCTATGGTTTGGTGGACTGCAACAGTTTATCCCTGTTTGAAATAAAAACAGCAATTCTACTTAATTATATTTACTAAAAGATCGTACTAGAAGACAATTGGTAAACTACAGCATTTATTTCTGTGATCTTTATTATTAGGATAATTACATGGTCCTTGCTTCAGATTTATTCTTCAGAAAGTAAATTACTAGCTTGAATCTTTAGGTTTCCATTTTTAGCTTACTTAATTTATTTGGGAAGAAAAAAGAAAAAGAAACTTCTTTTACCCATTGGGATTTATGAATGTTTCTGACGAAATCATGCCACTGAATGCCATGTTTTATAATCATGATTCTGGTGATACAAATCTCACATGATAACAAGATATCTATTGAAAAAGTACGTCCAAGGCAACAATATCATAATTATTTTTATAAATTAACTCTGAATGCAGAAGACTAGTGGTTACAATCCAATGATCTAATAAAGACTATATTGCTTTCCCAGACATAATAATTCCCCACTAAGTGGCTAATGCTGTATCTTTCGTGTCATTAATTCTACTCCCTTTCATAATAAGAATACACATTTTAACATGAACCAAAACGTAATCAAGTGAGTGTACATGTTTGGACAAATTGTTGAATGATTTACATGTTAAATAAATGGTTAAAGTATCTAATTATGCTTCCCACATTCACAGAATAAAACTGCTAGAGCCTTCAGGAGAAAATTATGCAACATAGTACTTTCAAAGAATTCTCCTTCCACTATGTCAGTCTCACATATTTGTGTATACTAATATCATGAAGCTTTAAGTACTTACTTCATGAAAGGCAATGAATAAAACACCAAATCTTATTTTTACCAGTTTTTCTTAATTCTTCGAGAACAAAGCATATACTGCAGTACCTTTGGATACTGTTTGACAGGAATCAGTACCCTTTCTGAGAGCTTGATGTTTTTGTTGCTGATGACATCAAGATACTTCTTTTCTTCATCTTCCTTTTTTCCATCAGAACCTTGAAATTTTTCAATTTCTGAAAAAAATTTCACAGAAAAAACAATAAGTGAAATGAGAAGTCATCATTAGTATGCTGACATTATTACTCCCCTTCTTAAATGAGATTTTGAAGAATCTTGATCAAAGGGCTGAAACGGCACCTTGTTAACAGCTACATGAATGCTGCTACCAGAGGTAAGATGACCTCTGTCAACTAAAACTAAGAAAGGACCATTGAAAATGTAACCGTCTTCTGGGAAACAAACGATGCATATAATTAATTTTTAACATCCTCAAACAAAACACGAGGAAGAATATGTCCTTTGACTATTTACTATATCTAAGCAAACATAATTTTCCCAGGAGCAATGAATAAAACAAAATATATTTTAAGGTTATATGTTTTATTTTTACTCAGAATTATTCCTAAGAAAAAAATAAGTGAAAACAGTATTCATCCATTATCTAAAATAGGGTAGCAATGATAAATAGCATTTTATGTTCTAACCAATCTGAAAGGCAATTAAAAAGGGAGGAATCATAGAAAAGCCACATAAAAGACTAAATCTATAAATGCTATCATTCATACTCGTCAACACGAAATTATCTTTCTAGATGTTTAAGAGGAATTACTAGTTTTGCCCTATGAGAATGTTCTCAAAGTAGATATTTTTGAGCAAATGTACACTATTTTATCCACTCTTTGTTTTCAAAATTAATTTATTCCACAAAGATTTTTGAACTTCTACTATGGATATCACAGATAGAAAACAAGAAAATGTCTCTGCTTTTATAGAATCTATGTTTTGCTGGGGAAAATGAACACTTAGAAAATGAATATATGTGCACATGCATATTTATATGTGGGGATAAAGAACAAACACAATAAAGCTATTAAGAATATAAAGGAGAGTAGAGTCAAGGAGTGGGGCTATTACTTTAGATTTATAGGGTGATATTTGAGCAGAGCCCTGAATAATGAGAAAGAGTAAGCCATGAGAAGATCGAGATATCAGATCTTACAATCTGATGGAGAAACAGCTTGACGTCCTCTTGAAATAGTAAGAAACAAGAAAGCCTGTGTGTTTGAAGAATGTGAATACAGAGAAGAGGTTTGATAGGTGGTTATAGGGCAGATCATGTAAGGCCTTGTTAAGGCATGTGACGTTCTCTGCTTTTTATTGTGACTATAATGGGAAGCCACCGGGTGGTTTTGGTGGGGGAGGGAGACAGCCATATTTGATTGTTATTTGTAAAGATAACAGCAGATACAATATGCAAAACCAGTCATAGCAGCCAGCAAGCAAACAAGGAAACCAACTTGCATTTGGCTAGCTGAGAAATAATGCTTACTTGGTGTAACAAGGTAGGAATGAAATGGTGAGAAGAATATATGTAACTAGAGTCACTGAATGGAGTTCACTATGTAAAATCAATGTTCTGGGGGCCGGCCCAGTGGTGTAGGGGTTAAGTTCACATGCTCAGCTTCAGTGGCCTGGGGTTTGTGAGTTAGGATCTCAGGGGCAGACCTACAAACCGCTCATCAAGCCATGCTGTGGCAGCATCCCACATACAAAATAGAGGCAGACTGGCACAGACGTTAGCTCAGGGCCAATCTTCCTCACCAAAAAAAAACCCATATATCAATGTTTTAGAGAAATCTTGAAAAATTCATTTCCCTTGTTTCTTTTATGTTTATTTGACAGTTATTATTACCATAAAATCACCTGTAAATATTTCTTGCCTCCTTGTTCTTGGCCAATTGTACTATTCCAAAGCACTACCTAAATTAAGACATGAACATGAGTGGTTTTTAGTTTTATTAGAGAGGAACAAGAACATTCTGCTATTTTTGAGGACAGGAGAGCTGATGATAGTTATTATGTATGGACATTCTTAATTCATACAATTTATATTGCATTTTGAAACAATTATTTTTTAAAAGGTCTGACTACTTCTGGAGATAAGAGGAATACTACACTGCATCTAACAGCTTTTTCTTTATTTTATTTTTAATTAGCATCTTTCCCAAAATGATTCACATAGCTTATGTGAAATCCCTGTAGCATTCCAGGTATTAATCTCTTAGTGGATTGTTTATTTGACCCATGTGCAATTTTTAAAAAATCTTTCTGAAGTAATAGTACATGGCTCACCCAGATAACGCCAGAACGAATGAGACACTGCCTGGTTTGTACAGTCATTTACAATCGTTTTTCCAGTTACGTGCTATAATTTCCCTAAAGACAACTATCTGAAAATGAACTGAGCTGTTTTTGAAAAGAACGTATGTGTAATATGTCTATAATTTCTACTCAGTATGACAGCATCAGATTCTGACTTTTCTATCCCAGAGTATTAACAAGTCATTTCTTATAGCTTTTTTTTTTTTTAAAGATTTTATTTTTTCCTTTTTCTCCCCAAAGCCCCCCGGTACATAGTTGTGTATTCTTCGTTGTGGGTTCCTCTAGTTGTGGCATGTGGGACGCTGCCTCAGCGTGGTCTGACGAGCAGTGCCATGTCCGCGCCCAGGATTCGAACCGATGAAACACTGGGCCGCCTGCAGCAGAGCGCGCGAACTTAACCACTCGGCCACGGGGCCAGCCCCAACAAGTCATTTCAACTGGCTGTCTTTTTAAACCAGAAGCACCCTCTAGTCAGGCCTTTCTTTCGATTCCTTACATAATTCTTACATACAGAACTCTGACAACTGCAAAGAAAGAATATTCATTATATCCTCTGATACTGACAATAAACTTTTCATCACTGCCCTTTGGGTACATGCACCTACTTAATATCTACGTCCCAGCATGCTGAGGCAATTGTAATGTGGGACACACTGAAAACACCGACTCAGTTTCCAATCTATTAAATGTACAGTTTCTCCCTTGTCACTCTCCCATAAAAATAAATTGAATTTGTCTGACATTATTTGCTCTCAACAAAACTACTACCTTAGGCATTTTTAGATGCTTGCAATTTGACGAATCAATGATTAATTCCAATAACTTTTCCACTGAGAAACAGAAGGGAATAAAATACCATTTCCACTGCTTCTTCTGTTCCTTCCTACACTTTCTTTTTAGAAGTTTTGACATTTCTTTTGCCCTTCTGATACTTGCAGGGAGTTATCTGGTCTTCCCTGACATATCTACGTGACTAATAGCTCAGTAATTACATTTGTCAACTGCACAGTCACAGAATGGTGTATGCCAAAATTGCCTGGTTTTTAAAACCACAGAAAGCAATGGATACAGCACATTTCCTTTTCTAATTTTTAGTTTAAAGTAATTCTTTTCTTATTTCATAATTAATGCATACTCATTGTAAAACATTTAGACAATATAGACAATTTAAAAAATGTCCAGATGGCAGAGCCAGTCTTCTTATTTTGGTTTTAATTTCTTTATTAAAATTGGACTTTTTGTATTATTTCTATATTTTAGAATTCAATGAGGGATTTCTTAGTGGGTAAATTTTGGGTCAGGACTCATGAATATTACATGAAAAGGGTGTGTATTCTATCTTATTGAGTTAAAAGTTAGATCTAAATCAATCTGATCTTTTTCCATACTGGATCCATCTTGGAATGAAAGAGGCGTATGAGAATTTCTTTGGAGTATGTATACAAGAGTGGAATTTTGGTTCATAAATTATGCACATACTTAATTTGACTAAACTCTGCTATTTTTCTCTAAAAAATATACCAGGCACATTGCCACAAACAGTAGAAATGTTTCTATGACTTCCATGTTCCTCCACTTACTTTTCTAACCCTACCTCCTTCTCTTATAGAAACAAGACAGAGCACCTAGGATCATAAAAGAAAAAAAAAACTCTGAAGATATCCCCCAAATCCAGGTGATCTGCAAGAACCTATAGTAACAAGTGGGTTTGTCAAAACACTGAAAATATCAGCAACTGCACAGGGTCCTACGTGATGGAGTAATTAAGGGGAGATTGTGGAAGAATGAAAACGAAAAGTTCTGATGGTTCCAATAGTCCTAGAACATAGACATTTCAAGCAAGTATTCATCCTCAAAGGCAGAGATGACCTCCATAGTAGAATGCTCAACATGATCTGAAAAAAAAACCTGTGAAACTGGGACAAGACCACCCAAGGTCCAATTTATGAGTGAGTTTGAAGTAGACAATGGAGACCACATAATGCATGAGGAAAAAGCTGAAGGTACTAAGGTAGCACAAGTACTCCAGGACCTCAGCAAACAACAAAGTTGCCTTCTTTAAGGATGAAGTCCCTTCCTGAGGCAGAAAAATTGCTTCAAGAAAAATCCTACTGGAGCATGAAGCAAGGATGCTACTCGAGCTGAACAGTCTGTTCTGACAGACACCTCCTAAGGGCACAGGCAAAACTTTCTCATTTAAACATTGACAAGAGAAACAGATTGTGTTGAACCTTGTACAAGTATACCATAAGAAAACAAAAAAAAAGGAAAATGAACCCAATAATATATTAGCAGAAAATGAAAACAGGAGAGAAACATATGATAACAAAGCAGAAAACCACTAAAATATAATATTAAAAATGAAGGAAAATAAAGTAAGAAAACTATAAAAACAATGAAAGAAGAATATATATCAGAAACAGAAAAGGGTTGTAAAGAAGCAATTAAATTAGAGAAGTGTCTAAAAAGATCTGTAAGAGCTCAGGAATAAAACAGAATTTATTTCATAAATGAAGAATAAACTAGAAGTAAAACAAGATTAAATAGATCAAAGAACAGAAATAGAAATAGAGGAGAGAATTAAGAATCATTATAAAATCAGAAAGTTGAAAAGTTTGAGAGAAAATGACAGATGTGGAAGACAGGCAAAGAAGGGTCAAGGCAAGTTTAACTGGAGTTCCTAGAAGATGAAAACTAAAGCAGTAAAACTGAAGAAACACTAAAAGCTATCATTCAAGAAACTGTTTCATGAAAGAATCATAAGAAATGTGACATGAACTGAGAAACATGATTAGCTCAATGTTCTGATCTGAAGGAGAGAGAGAGGCAGAAGGAGGAGGAGTGAGGGGAG